GATACCCAAAGAGAATAATTTTTAAAAAATTATATAATAGCATATATCATTAGCATGTCACATAAGTATTTTTTCTATGTCATGTAAATATTTTTCCCAGTTTTGTTGAGAAATGATTGACATACATCACTGTATGTGTTTGAGGTGTACAATGTGATGGGAGAATGCTCTTAAAGCTCTGGAATTGTCTCTCTGTGTAGCTCTCTTCTCTCTGGTAATCTGTCATTCACAACTCTAGCCACCTTGATCTTCTTGGATTCTCAACTTTGTCTCCTCAACTCAGGGAGTCCTCCTGGGGTTGGGGTTCCCACCTCCTGAGCTGCAGCCAGGAAAGTCTTTCAAAGCAGGAATCCCAGGCAGTGTTAAGGCTCACCTACCTTGTTTCCTGATTCTCAGCAATTGCTGCCCTTCTTTGCCTGATATCCAGTGTCTTGAAAGCCAGGGTTTTATATAATTTTCTGACTTTTTGGTTGTTTCCAGGCAGAAAACTAAGTCTGGGCACTGTTATTCCATCTTGTCAGGAACCAGATGATGCTGGACTTTCAACTCAGGTTTGCAACTGTGTACAGCGAGCTGGCTTTTGACTCCCACTTTGGCAATGTTATTAAGCACTTCTGGTTCCTCATCTCCTTACAACCCCCACGACTATTTAGTTCCGAGAGGCTAAATAAGGGTGTTCCACTATTATCTTAGAATCTTCTTCCAAGCTGCTGACTCCCATTTTGCAAGTTTGATACTGGTCGTTTTGGTGTTAGCAACTGTGCAGGCAAAGATAACTATGGCAGGATCACTGCCTCAGTGAGAAAGGATATAATGCACCATTGATTGTGGGATGCATTCTGATTTCACATATGTTAAAATGTGAGAGACAGTTCCTCTTAGAATCCATGAAATATGGTATTTTGACTGTTGTGGCAATAGGATTTTCTAGCTGATTATATATATATATATATATATATATATATATATATATATATATATATGAAGTCAAGAATAGCTCCAAAGTTTTTGGCCTGGAGAACTGTAAAGATGAAGTTCCCAACATTTGAGAGAGATGAGGAGAGAGATTTGTAAGGAGATGAGGAACCAGAAGTGCTTAATAACATTTGAGGAAGATCCATCTTATTTCGCCTGTTAGGTATACGTCCTCCATTGTGTAATGACTGATAACTTCAGGGGGAGATGTTGAAGGGCTCAAATGCTCGGCTTCACCTTATTTCATTGGATATATTGTAAAAGTAATGAAGTTGGCATGGAGATAAAAAATATACTACTAAAACCTCCTCAAGATTGGCAGACTGTATGTACTGCTATTTTTATGTGTAGCCAATCACATTAACGATGACTCTTCTGTTAAAAAAAAATTACCATAAAAAAAAATGAAAAAAAGAAACGAAAATAAATTACCAGTCCCATAGACTTAGAGGGAAGACTCCTTAAAAACATAAACCTCAACAGGTCTAAAAATAAGGCAAGCTCAGATATCAGAATAGGAAATCCTATCTCTTCAAAAATTATCATTATGACCTTTCTCTGATACAGCAATGAATGACACAGAAAAGTCCACGTATGATGAGATTGTAAAACAAGTTTAAAGTATTCAATAGAAAGCTGTGAAATACACATATAGCTGTAGACTTTTTGAGGAAATATTTTAGGTACAATCTTTAGAATAATTAATTTTCTTGAGAAAGGACATTTGCAACCCATATTTGTGACATGACAGCATTTATGATTCCCATGGAGAGCTTATCAATTTAATTGAGAAAGAGGTTATCTGATCTCTGAAGCAGGTCTTCCAGAATTGCTGATTAATAACCTAGAAATATGTCCTGACTATTGGTATCATGGTTCTGTCAACAAAGCCAGAATAGATTAGGCCAGATGCACTTGGTCATAGAGCAGTGTGCCTTTGTGGAAAAGAGCACCCACAGGAATGTGAGGCCCAGTGAGAGAGGGTGTACCCATCTGTCCCACCAGTCAAACCTATTGAATTAATCACTAAGGAGGTAGGTGATAAAGCCAGGCTGCTCACACATTCTCAAATGTCTTAAACACCATTCTGTGCTCACTCTTATAATAGATGCCAAATGGAAGAATCCCCCAGCCCATCCCTAATTATTGAGAATTTATCCCCAAATAAGACAATTATTAATACATATCCAACTCAAAGAGGGGCTTTTTATCAACATGCAGAATATGAAATCAATTTTTTCCTATCTTTTTGTCAAGTTAAGATCACCGTTTCTTAAATTATATTTTGAGATGTATCAACTGTGTTAACAGATTATATATGTGTGTGTGTGTGTGTGTGTATATATTCTCTGGGTAAACATTTTGGGGAATGCACTGGATTAAATAGAATGAAATGAGGCTCTTTTGTTCAGGGCTTCTAAGAAACCAATGTGCTTTATGGGTTTCCACGAGTAGAGTATAGCTTGTGGTATTTTCCCACATATTTTATCTGGGGCCCTTCTCCTTGGACCATTTTGTGGGGCTGCTGCTTTGCTGGTCTTTTTTGTCACTGAACCTCTGGTACCTAGGAGGGGGCCTAACACTAGGAGACACTCAAAAAATATTTGTGGACTAAAGTAATGAACTTGCTGATTGCCTGATGAGGGGCCAGTTGTCCATCAGCCCTTGAGAGAACCATAGAAGAACAGACCATGACTCTTCCTACTTCCTGTGCCCTGTGAGGCTGATTCTTCAAGATTGCACCAGCTTTAGAGGCTCCCTATTTCTCTTTGACTAACCTTTTCCCCAACACCCTTCTGGGTTTCTCCCCATCTTCCTTGGGGAGCATACAAGGGTTAATGCATCAGCCAGAAGCCAGGGTCAATGCCCCAGTATATGGAATGAGAGTGGCTTCTCAACAGAACAAGAGGGAGGCCGCCTGAGTCGTGTGTGGGTCAGAAGTCTACCACCGAGTGTTGCAGAGCCAAACAGAAAGCTTCCCTTTTACTTGCCCTTTATTTGACCTGTGGATAAACAAAGACTTTCTATTTCCAGAAATCCCATTGTTTTAACTGCTTTGAGTTTCTTTTGTAAACTTAAAAATCCATGTCTTTGTGCAAGACATTTAAAGCTCTATGGGCCCAGTCTGAACATTTTTGTTCCTTTTCTGTATTCTCCTTACATGTTTTGTGCTTATAGCCACAAAGTCCTGGCTCTCTGAAATTCAGCCTTTTCTTCAACAATGTATGACATTAAAAACCGCTAGAAGGTTGTAGTGTGAGTAGAATATTCAACATTGGAGAGAACTTGATAAATGTAACCTCTTTAGGGAAAGAATTGAGAGCATATGATTCTTCTTTATCATTCAACTGGCTATGCGCTGGGGCCTTGGAGGGTTTAAAAACATAGCAAAAATAAACAGTCTTTCAGTCCCTGTCCTTAAGGAGATTTGGAAGAGACGGAGGAAAGTAATATTTACAAAATGCCTCCTGTGTTCCAGGCTATACAACTATATATTGATATCAATATCTATATCTTTTTACAACAATATTGTGAGGTAAGTGTGCTTTTCCCTGTCTTACAAATGAGGAAACAATATAAGGATCAGAGAAGTTAGGGAACTTCTGAGATTCATTTATGGAAATCAGATTCTCCTAAAGATGGGATGATGCTAAGTTTCAGAACATTGGTTACCTTTTAGGATTACTCTTATTGAAACTAAATTTTTCCAAAGAGAGCATGATAATATATAATATCAGAAAAAAATATGTGTGAAAGAAAGAATCCCCACGGAGCTTCTGAATATGCTGGTGAATTTAAAATGCCTGCTTTTTCCCTTGTCTTCTGGAATGCCCTCCTCTTTTTTTGACCATGGGCTACTCCCTATACTTCTCAGAGGCTTCATTTCATCATCATAAAAGGGAGAATGTAGTATCCTCTTTGCCTATGTCACAAGCTTTGGGTGAAGGAGTAAATGGTATAATTTAGAAAGTGAAACTCTTCAGTGGCATGTAAATGAGAGGTGGTGTTGTCACAAACGTCACAAGCAAGAATGCCTGTGATATGTTTGGGGTGCATAGAATATAAATCTAATTAAAAAAAAAAAGTAGGGCACCTGGGTGGCTCAGTTGGTTAAGCGACTGCCTTCGGCTCAGGTCATGATCCTGGAGTCCCTGGATCGAGTCCCGCATCGGGCTCCCTGCTCAGCGGGGAGTCTGCTTCTCCCTCTGACCCTCCCCCCTCTCATGTGCTCTCTCTCTCTCAGTCTCTCTCTCTCAAATAAATAAATAAAATCTTTAAAATAAATAAATAAATAAATAAATAAATATAAATAAAAATAAAAAGTAGGTTCTGCTTCCAGTGAATTCAGTCTCAATTTGCAAGTAGGGTGAAAGTAACCCATTTCTAAATCTGGCTGTGATTCAGCCAAAAAAAAAAATTTTTTTTTAATTGTCAAGCAGAGAGTGTATGTGGGGGGAAAGGTTCATAACCATTCCTGAGACACTTACTATATATAATATTAGATGTAGATAGGGAAGGATATTAAAGAACTGGGAGGCATAATTTCTGCCCTTAAGAGATTTAACAAATACAAACAAATAAATCTTCTCCTATTCTCATTTTTCCTGATGGTCTAAGATAGTTACTTTGCTAGAAAGAAATTCAGATCTTGATATAATACGGTCATCCTTTGAGCATTAGAATTTATTTTCATTTTTGTAATCCCGAGAAATTTAGCAATGTAAAAACCAGGTTTTAAAATCAGAAATGGAAACTTGCAAATTCATTTCTCAATCTATCAAAATTTATATATATTTTTAAAAGGCCAGGTCCCCCATAAGTTAACTAGTGACCAGCTTCACTGGCATGTGTTTTTCTGAGGAAAATGGAAATTTTGATTCCCAAATGTTGGTGTTCCTCTTTCAAACACTTAAAAGATGATTATCATTTGGGGGAGTATATAAGTCAGTGCCTTTATATAGGAGCTAATCAATAATTTTGTGTCAAATTATATGCCTTTAAGATATCGCTTTGTTTCTCTCTAGTGGATGATACTGTGGTTGCTATTCCCTATGGAAGTAGACATATTCGCCTCGTCTTAAAAGGACCTGATCACTTGTGTAAGTAAAATCAGTTGTTTTCCTTTGGGTATTGGGAATTTTAGTCACTATTATTTTTTGTTCCCAGAAGAGATTAAAATACGGAAGTGCAAATCTTTCTACTCTATCATAATATGATATTTTGAGTGCTTCTGTTTATCTTTTGGCTGCCTGATGAGATAGCAGAAACCTCAGGGTAATTATCTCTAACCACACTCATCCTGAAAAATACAAAATAGATGCTCCCAATAGGTTGTTCATGACTCAAGCACATGTTTATGCTTTTGTGAATATTATTTCTCATTCTCTCTCTTCTTCCTCTCCAATCAATCTCAGTCTTTTTCTTGCCTCGCATCTCCTTCCCCCACCCCCCTTCTTCTTTCCAGCCTTCCTCACCTTCACTCTTTCTTTCTTCCTATTCCCGTGTTCCATTACTTTATCGATTCAGGGGAACGTAGAAGCACCAAACAACCTTAACTTTTAAAGAAAACCATAGTGGTATGATTAAACATCCCATGTATTAAGGACAATACAAAGCCCTCCTATACTGAAGATAGCTATTGGGATTGAGGACTGATGGGTAATCACAACCCTAGAGATCAAATGGTAGCATGGCCCCACTAGAACTTAGAAAGAATTGATATCTTCAGTCCTACCAAGCAGTAGTACACAGCCACATTGTTTCTTTTTTATTATTAGCATTTACTATTGTTTAGACATAGACCTGTAAATTACCAGCAGACAATTATAGGCTATAACCCAGGGAAGGGGTATAAGAGGATACATTGTATTTTCTACAAAATTCAGTTCCACTGAAAGACTTCACTTCCGCTGGTCCCTTGAGCATTTCTGATCTCCTCCACTGTGACTGTTCCTGGATTCCTAAAGAACCATCTATCATCTTCTGTTCTTTCTCCCCTCCCACACACATGCCTAGGAAACCAATTTAGGTAGTGAGCATTATCTTTTGGCCATTGGATTATAAATGAAATCATTCCAGAAAGACAAACAACAGGAAGATAAATTGGAGCCTGTGAAAGTTCAGATAGCCTACTACAGTCTTTCTAAAAATAAAAATAAATACATTTCATGGGAGAGGTGGGATTTGAAGGGTCATGTGAAGGAAAGGAATAAGTAAGGTACAGTTCAGGCAAAGCCAGAAGATGCTGATAAGTCACCTTATATGGATCCAAGTTCTTTTCTAACCCTGAACAACCCCCCAAAATATAATGTTCACATGTCAAGGGATGATATATATGTGTACACTATCACCATTCAAATGATTTGCTTTTCCTCTGGAGGATTGGACAGAGGTAACTGCTCATGTAACAACCCCACTCAAAAACAGTATTTTTCTAGCAGTGACAGGCCTGCTCAGAATAAAACATCCAGGCAGAGATCATCACCAACTGGGGGACTGACTCCTCAATGCAGAAGAAAGACCCCAAAGGAATAGATTGAAAAGGAAATTCATTTTTATAAATGTATGAGCCTCCCAGTTTTCCTAACTATGTGATCACTAATAAGCTAAAGAATGAGCCTCGTTTGCTTTCATTGTCCCAAGAATTCAATAGGTGAAGCGGCAGATGATATTTATAAATGATGGAAAGCAAAATGGAATTTGTTTTTTTTCCCCAACAGACATACATGTATGTTGACAACATACATGTAGCTTAAGAACTTTTTGTTTTGTGTATCTGGAATATAATATAATATATAATATAAAATGAATATGTGAATAAATGACACCCTGTTTTACTTGCAACCCTTTGCACTTAACTCCCAGAAGCTGGTCTAATATGGGACTAATCTGAAATATTTAGGGCCAAACCAGAACAACACTAGGCAGTCTGGTCTAACCCCCGCTTATCTTCAATCAGAAGTACCTTGGGAAGGACAGCTGGGAGACCTGGTGATAAAACTGAATCAGATGCTCAAATCAGACTTAGACCCCCAGGATTTTTCCAAAACTAAGTTGATTTATGTCTTAGAGCTATATCTACAAATTAGTACACATACACACACATAAGGCAGCTTGAGAAATGAAGGCTAACAGAAGGAGATCCTGTGCTGTGGTTTCCCCTCCAGTTCTCCCTTGATATACCTCATGTTCTCCTGTGAAGACCTCTCTCCTCTAGGGCAGGGGGATGGAGCCTGACCTACTCCAGAAGAAGGGCTACACAGACTTCATCTCAGCGTTGTTGGCATTTCACTGGACACCAACATTCTTGTTGATATTCCAGTTTAAAGTAGACAATACGTAGAATAATTTAGTACAGGTACTTTAGTACTTCCAGAGGTCCTAAAATTATCCCAGGACCCCAATCTGTAAGACATGGAAGAAGGGAGTCATTCTGGTTGAATGTTGGGTAGGAGACCCAGAGACTCACCTGACACTCTATCCTTCTGCTGAAGAACCATTACTAAAGCTAAGGATTCTTATGCAAGTTTTAGAAACCATTAGACAGTCTGTCCCTCTTCATACAGTGGGAAGTTATTCTAAATCATTTCTCAATCACATGAGAATTTAATCTGCTCTGAAATACATGGCATAATTACCATCATCCCCAGCTTGCTCACATTTCCTACAACAAAAGATGTTTCATTGCCTTTGTCATTGGCCAAATTCAGATTGGAATGCTCCAAGAATCAAGAAGTTCTTCTCTCTTAAGCACTAATATCATATATGTACATAATACTACATTAGGTACCCAGCAGGATTTTTAAAAGAGAGAGAACTAAAAAGAATGGTGATTTCCTTGTCCTCATTACTATTGTTTCTTCATGGCAAGCCGCAACATACACGCAGTAAGAAAGCAGATAGTACAAATAAACACAAGGTAATGCATGGGTATGAAGTCGCATGGGTGCTGAGGGGAACTCTGCGAGGCACCCTGGATCTCACGGATCAAAAAGAAAACTGGAGGGTATTCTAGACAGCCGTAGAGACTGAAATCAGTAAGACATGTATGGGAGATGGTTTAGTTAAAGGAATAGAATGGTGGTAAAGTGGGGTACCCTAATGAGGTCATTGGGGAGTCAAAGATTTTTTGACTGGGAGCCTTGAATGCTTGGCTAATGAGTTTTAAAATAATTTCATTTGCAACATAAACTCCTCTGTGATCCAGAGGTACCCATAAATTTTGTTTCTATCCCAATGTCAACTGTGTAAGCCATATAAAGGAGGGTATTTCTCCCTTCCATAGCTGTAGACTGTTTCATGAAATTTGCTTGCATGTGGTCCGTGATAGCCCTGGGAACATCTTTCTCTCCTTTACATGTGTTTGACCATGTAGATCTGGAAACCAAAACCCTGCAGGGGGCTAAAGGTGAAAACAGTCTCAGCTCTACAGGCACCTTTCTTGTGGACAATTCTAGTGTGGACTTCCAGAAATTTCCAGACAAAGAGATACTGAGAATGACTGGACCACTCACAGCAGATTTCATTGTCAAGGTAAGGGCCTCTAGGTACCTTGTTCTCAAGCCATATCCAAACTGTGACTTATAATCTCCTAGAGAGAGAGAGAGAGAGAGAGAGATTTTGGGTTTGGGTATAGATTTGGAAATCCTATTATCCAGGAAATGTTTAATTCAGGGGTGTCAAGGTACATCCTGGACTTTTCAGGAACATATAATATTTTTAAGGTCCTAAGAAAATCCTTATGTGTATATATATGTATATGATTTAATAAAAAGACTCAAAGACCAACACATCATTAGTTGGAGGATATAAACTGTTTTTGAAACAAGTTAGGATATAGTCATTGACTCACATAAGGTGTTCTCAGTCAAAGAGAAAGACAAAATAATGATCCATAGACTTGGTCATACGTCCCATTACAAGTTCTGTTTTCTCTTGTACTGGCAACAAGACTAACTTGTTTCCTTCTATCAGAGCTTCCCTACTCTTCAAGGTAATATAAAACACATTGCTGGAAGCAACATATTCATTCTGTAGGAGAAATGTACACACTAGAAGAATGTTTGAAAATCACAATAAAACATATTTTTTCCTTCAGTAGGTCAGAAGGACCTGAAGGATGTCAGCTGTAAAGCTGTAAAACTTGTAATGTGTCCAGGACTCCATAAATTTTTCATCATGGGACCTGGAGCCAGAGGACATTTGATTTAAGCTAAGACTCGATGACCCCATGGCAGCTGGAAGTAAGAATGCACATAGGAAAATGGGATAGACAGTGAGGTTGGATGGAAGAAGGGTTCCAGAGCACTGTTCTCTGTCTCCATCTGCATGGTAGCTCTTTTTAATCCAGTCCAGATGCCAGCCACTTTGTGTGGATGAGAAGCTACAAACCAGCAAAGATAGCTCACCAGAAAAATGATGCTGTGGGTGGTTATTTCATTTCAATATGCAAATACAGCACAATAGTGAGAGAAGTCTTTATTTTTTTGCAACCCTTAGAGCGCTGCTGAACAAACCATTTGTGTTCATTTCCCTAGTAGCCTTGCAAGAGTTAATACACATACTGAAAATAGTGAACTGATTCAAGTAATATTGTTCACATGTCAGTAGTTGACAGCATTGCTGAGGCATTTCATATATCGAGCTGCCTTCTGCACATCACCACTTGGATATTCCATAGGTGCAACCAGTGCAACGTGTCCGAAACTGGACTTGTCTAGCCCCAGAAACCTACTTAATCTTCTTTATCTCCTATCTTGTGGAATAATATGCTATTTACCCAGCCACATCAGAAACCTTCGATTCACACTGATTTCCCCTTCTTCTATATGCCCCTGGTTAGACCTTAAACTTTGTCCATTCTACCTCCATACCATCTCAAGACCATTCTTCCTTGTTCCTCCTTGCCGCATGCCATGTGCATCCTTCTGAAGCTACAGCCCCAATGAAAGAACTTGACTTTCTCAGCCAGAAGAGGGTTTTTTTTCAGTGATGGTCCATCCTTCCCTAAAACTTCCAACTTAGTTCTCCTTGTGAAAGCAGCTAAGGTACCTGTTCAGTTTGTGCCCATTCTAGAAATTTCAGAAGAACGTCATAGAGAAAAGTGACTGATAAGTACCTAAGACACCAAAGTAGTAGAAAAATTGTGACTTGCATTTGCATCAATTAGAGCATTAGACACAGATAATGCATTCATATGTCTTTCTGAACAGTGTGGAGCATCACCCTGTGCATCACTCAGCAGCCAAGGAACATAATGGGTCTCCTGACTCCCAACCCCTCACAGGCTTATCTGGGGCAAAAGTTTCTACAACACCAGGGAGAGAAAAGAACATAGTAGGGGAATAGCTGAGGCTCACAAATTATCTTTTCCCAACTGAGAAGAAAAAAGTGTGGCATTTCATAGTGCATCAACTGGGGGATCCTTTGTGTACTTGATGATGTCTTTCATGCATTTGAAATGTCTTCTTGATTCCTTTGATTTTACATGGACTTAATGTTCATCTATTACCCACTCACACACTTGTCCTGTCCTGGGACTCTATCATGATAGTGAGATCAGTTGCTATGGAAAGTGACCAGTTTTTGTCTTCTCTTTTCCTTTCAGTGTGAGAAGTCTTATATTAAATTAGAAACACTGAATCATTGTAATTATAGGAAGAAAAGCTTGTTTCAGAACATTCTTTTTCCTTATTAACTTAAGGAAGCCTAAATTACATATGCCAGATGTGTTTAGCTCCCTAAAACTAAATTCTAATGTGTCAAACTGAAGCTTTCAGCATATCCTGGAGAATAAGAACCTGATGTCTGAGGATTTAGGGTGTATAAAGCTCCAGAGCTAATGACAACAAAAGTCCCAGCCACCTAGAATTAATAAGACCAGAAACAAGGAACATGGAAGCCCATCTCTGTGAGCAACAATTAGGCCATCAAAGTTAGACATCGGGTTAGCCTCTTTATTTTCCTACTTTCAAATGAAAAATTAAGATACTGAAAAAAAAAAAAAGATACTGAGAAGAACAGTATGAGGCCACCACTGAAGATAAATACCTGTATCTCCACAACACTAACACTAACTAACAGAATTGCTTGGTACTATGAAAAGAATGGCAGCTTTCAAGCCAAGGCAGACCTGAATTCAAATCCCAGCTCTGCTCTTCCCTAGCTGTGTAGCCTTGAGCAAGTCACTCAACCTCTCTGAGACTCATCTCTCTAGTCATAATGTAAATGTGGAAAGATAATACAGAGTAGTTCTAAGATTTGATTTAATATAAATAAAATGTACCCTGCATACGGTAGGAATGTAGTAAGTGCTCGTTGCTGTGGTAGTTGTTGGTTATTATTAAAAGAAGGTGCTTATAGAGAAGAGAGAACCAGGAATATTATCAGTGTAGAATCAAGTAAGATTTGTATGGTCAGAGATTTGGATACATCACAACTGTTTTTATCTATTTGAAATAACAATACCCCTGTTCATTTCCAATCTCTTTTCAAATTTAAGCATACAGTCTCGGCATTCATGGTCATTGTACATCAATTTCATTGGACAGTTAGGAACAATATCCTCTCTAAGGTCCTTGTTTTCTTTCCTTCAACATAGTATTTACTCACACTCCCTCTTAACACCAAAACTTCTTGACATGCATTCCTTACTCTAAAGGCATAAGGTGCTTTCACTGGTAACCTCTAGGAAGCTGAAACTTTGTTGTGTTTCATCTTTTTCCTCTTTAACCAGATCAAAAACTAAGCCCAGACACTGTACAGATATTCTAGAACAAGGTTTCTCCAAGGATTTTGATGTTATATCCTCCTCATTTTTGTTTTCCTCCACTTTCCTAGGACTTAGTTTAATTTCAAGCATCCCAAAAGAGACCTCTGCAAAAAAATCCATCCTTCTAAGCCTAAATAAATCTTCTGGTCTTTTTATTTTTTCACAGAGCTGATGTTTAAATGACAGTCCTCTTCTAATACTTTTCCAGCATGGAAACCACACATCCCAAGAGAGCTATAGGCTTTTGTGAGCTTAAAACAAAAAAACAATCAAAAAAAAAAAAAAAACTTTCCAAAGAATGTGATTAATAGTACATCCCTGAGCAAGCAATTAGGTATCCTGTATCTGACACATAGGATTGAAAAATATTAATCTGTAGGCTCTGCTCCCCTTTTGTGAAACACACCATATTGCTTCAGCTGTTTTGGCTTTAAAGTAAGGGATTGTATCACTGTTTATTCTAATTAAGAAAGACCTCGATGTTTCATGGGTCAGAATGCCAGCATAATATGAGATATTCTATAGTTCTCTCTCTCTCTTTGTTCTTTCTCCTTTTCCAACTCTTGCAGATTATCTGAGGAACATTTCCAATATTTTCATCCGAAGTCCAAAAATTGGTCTAGGGTTTAACACCTACTCCCTGCATTCCAGTGTTCCTAGATGTTTAATCCAGTTGTTAATCCAGTTGTTCAACTCAGTAGTGGAAAATAGGCTGTCTTTTTTAAAAATCTGAAGGCCAAATCCATCAGCTTATCCTAGGTAAAGGGCAGTCGGGACCACGGTAAGGCTTGAAAACATAAAGATGTAGACCACATGATGCGCTGATATGCCTCTACTGTCTTGAAGTAAGAGGTGGCCCTCTTGGTTGTCCATGGAACTTCCTTTAGTATAATAAATAGTCCAAGCCTTGCCCAACTGTCTCAGTGTTATACGGCATGTCATTATGTCTTTGTGAAATCAAGGCACTGCTCCTATTGGCTACGTTTTCCTTCTCTTTTAGATTGAGTATATTTTCTCAACCTTGTACTTTTAAGAACTATTAAAGAATTATTGCCTCACTTCCTCTTTTTTAAAACTAAATGGGGTTGTAATTTCCATAAGGATATGTGTATTCAAAGTACACATTGCTTTTATATTGTAAGTTGGTGTTTTTCAAAGTTTGGTACTTGGACTATCAATGTTTCCATTGCTCTTGCATTGCAAGAGCCCAGGAATTTGCATTTTAGCAAGCTTCCAATTGGTAACTCTGCACATTAAAATGTATGAATCACTAAAGTGCCAGGAAACATCTCTGAGTGGGCAGAGCCATTTAATTCTTTAATTCTTTTTTCTTGACTAAAGACAGGATCTTTCATTTTCTGCAGTGTATGGCATTTATAATTTCCTCAGAATAAATTGTCTACTTTGGAACCTACATTAAAAATCCACATACACAAGACACCTGGGCGGCTCAGTCGGTTAAGCATCAGCCTTCGGCTCAGGTCATGAGCCCAGGGTCCTGGGATCAAGTCCCACATCAGGCTCTCTGCTCAGTGGGGAGCCTGCTTCTCCCCCCTGCTTGTGCCCTCTCTCTCTCTCTCTCTCTCACAAATAAATAAAATCTTTTAAATAAATAAATAAAATAAAAATACACATATACATATTTTACATATAAAAATCCACATAATTTTTCCTGTTGTACCAGAGAAGTTAGAAATACAGGAGGGAAAGGGAGAAAGTGGCCTGAGAAAAGATCCTACTAGAATCACAAGTAGAGACATTGCGATCCCTTGATCCATAGCAACAGAGCTGAAAAGTGATGGTCGCAATGGTATATGGTTGATGGGTAAGATCGATGATATTGCTATGGCCACTTCTCTCCCAGAGTGGTCCTTCATGCAGCCTAAGACCGTCGGTGCCACCGTGCATTCTTGTCCAAGTTGCAAGGGACAAAGAAAGCCCCTCCCGGTCATACCAGTTTCTCTCTTTGCTTTTATCTCCTGCAGATCCACAACTCAGGGCCCGCTGACAGCACAGTCCAGTTCATCTTCTATCAGCCGATCATCCACCGTTGGAGGGAGACAGATTTCTTTCCTTGCTCAGCAACCTGTGGAGGAGGTAATGGTGTTCACTTACCCTTGGAACTGTTGGCTTCTGTGAGGGAAGACTTGGCTGTCGTGAAAATAGTCGTTTCAATGTGGAAGAAATTGAGTGCCGTGATGGGTCTGATTCTTTATTCTGAATGGGGCCAAATCCTGAAGCCCTCCTGTAAGGCGGATACCTCCCTCTAGATGCTGCATGAACATTTTCTGTCAGCAAATTTCCATTAGTGGAAACGGTCTTGACTCTGTTCTGTTCCTTTGAGAATAAACTACTCATCTGTTTGAAGAGAACTTACTTATTCAGGAGACAAATGGAGAATGTTTGTCAGGCCTACTACCTAGCATGATGTATCCAAAAAGAACCAGAGGTTGATTTAATTAAAGGAAATAGTTTATTACCAGAAGAAAAAAAATTCCTGCACTACAGACTTAGAGTCAGTTTTTGTTAAACCCTATCCCATCATCTGCACCATAAATGGAATGCCATTTGCCTTGTTTATTCATTAAAACACATCTCTCCTGAAAAGTCACCAAATGAATTCCTATCTCTACTCCGTCACATCTGCAAAATGGACAGCATTTTGTGTTACTGGAAAAGATATCCCCTTCCTATTTTCTGCCCTTGATAATTATAATGGTTACATAATAATTGCTTCAAATCATTTTATAATTTATTTAGCCATATCCCTATAGAAGATTTAGTTCATTGAAACTTTTCTATTATAATGTAATAAATAACTTAATACCTAAGTATTTTTCTTCTTTCAAATTATTTCCTTGGAATAAATTCTCAAGAGTGAGTTTCAGAATTTTTGTGGCTATTGGCATATATTAACAAAATTCTTTCCAGAATGGTAATAAGCAGCATATGAATAGTTGAATTTCATTGCCAACTGAGCCAGTATTTGTGGATTATAAGAATTGTTTAATTTTGCTGATTTAATGAGCGTAAAATTGTATGTATATTCCTTTAAAAACTAGCACATCACATGAGAGACGATGGACTCTGAAAAACAAACAGGGTTCTAGAGGGGAGGGGGGTGGGAGGATGGGTTAGCCTGGTGGTGGGTATTTAGGAGGGCACATTCTGCATGGAGCACTGGGTGTTGTGCACAAACAATGAATCATGGAACACTTCATCTAAAACTAATGTTGTAATGTAAGGGGATTAACATAAGAATAAAAAAATTAAAAAAATAAAAAAATAAAAAAATAAATAAAAACTAGCACATCAAATAAATTCTGACTCCACTTTCATAGAAGCCCGTTAATTGGACAGTGTTAAGTAGTTAATCCACATGGGAATCACTAGATTATTTTGACAAGAGAAAAGAAGGATGGTACCTCAAAATAGAGACAAATCATTACCTGTGTGGTTTTTTTTAAACAATAAGAACATATGAAATAATTCATCTTCAGCTGCATAATGTGAACACACCACCAAAAATTAGGTTCTATAGAATAATGTTAGGTTTTAGCTTAAAAGCAGTTAGTCAAAAATACCTCTAAGTGCTTTTACTTGGTTGTTAAATAACTATTAATTCAACCTTCTTAACATTTCAACAAAATAGTATTTCCATCTGCTCTATCTGTCCTGAAGAAAAAATTACTTTGTTTAAAAATAAGATGCCAATTACTTTGATGTTTCTTGGGAATATGTAATTTTGATACACCTATTAATGACTAGCATAGGAAATAGTTTTGAAGAAAGAAATCCAAGCAAATAATTATTTTTCTTCTTTTTATTTTTTTTTAAGATTTTTATTTATTTATTTGAGAGAGAGAGAACACACAAGCAAGGGCAGAGAGAGAGGGAAAAGTAGGCTCCCTTGCTGAGCAAGGAGCCCGATGCGGGGCTCGATCCCAGGACGCTGGGATCGTGACCTGAGCCGAAGGCAGACGCCCAACCGACTGAGCCACTCAGGTGCTCCTCTTCTTTTCTTTTTAAATGCAAACCATGCTTTGTGAGAAGTAACGATTCAATAATATGCCCACTATGCCAGGTTCACACAGAGCTGCTGTTGGAGGTTAATTTCAGTAACCTTGATGATGCCTTGCTATATAATGGCAACTAATGTTAGATTTATATATATATCCAACTCCTCTCGGTCTTATTTTCCTCACATCTAAGTGAAGAAGTAGAAGCATTAGTGGTCTTCAAATGTTTTGAGTGATCAAACCCTTGCTTCAAAAGAAAGTTCACTAGGAAGCCTAGATAAAAGGAGTACTGCTCAGAATGAAGATAGGAGCAATGTGGAAACCAGCCTTCCACCCACTGTACCGACCACAGTTTGAAAATTATTGAAGAAATTATCTCTGAGTTCCCTTTTATATTTCTGGTTCCACATTCAACATTTTGCTAAGTGTAAACCAACAATTGCTACTCCAATTACCTTGTGAAATGTTTGAAAACACAATTATCTTGTCATTTATTTCATTTTTGTTCCAAACCTTCATTTCACACACACTCGGATAGCCTGACAACATTTTTAGCTGACAAATTATGATTTTTAAAAATCATAATCTCAGTTATACAATTTACTTATTGATTATGCCCACATTTTACTCATGACAAATTCTGTCCTTGAGTAGAAATTATTATATGGAAAATTATAAAAGTATAAAAAGTATAAAATGATTTGCTTATAAAATTACAAATTATAATTTTTATTATAAAATGATTAGTTTATCATAACATTATCTGCTTTAGAGTATAATATAATTGAAAAATGAAAGTATACTTATTTACAATGTCATTTTTCTCTTTGATTTTCTTATAAAATAAAAGCTTAATGGAACATGTGTTCTGACCTATTACTTTCCATGCTTTTCATCTTTACAGTAACATTGTTAAAAGGTCTTTTTTTGGGTCTTTAATGAACAATTAATTTTTGCGGGTGGTCTGAGAACACAGCCCCAAGCCAGGAAATCTGGTTTATAAGCCTCCTTCTGATCTCCTAAAATCTTTTGCAAGTCTTTAATTACTCTAATTCTGACTTGCTAACACGTATCTAGCGATAACAATATTTAACCACCTGCCAGGGAGAATATATTTTGAAGGTTGGTTAGGGTTAGAAAATACAAAAGCCTAAGTTAAAAAAAAATTCTCTATGTACATTTCTTTTTCACGCTGAGAATCTCAGTCTTCATCACCACCTCACCAGAAACACAGGATGAGAGAGAAGCAGGTGGGAAAGCTCCAACGAATGCAACTAAGTAGTACCCAGCAATGCTATTTTTTAAAAGAATTCTCTCAACAGTGGAAATGTGTGCACGGAAACTAAAAAATATCAGCTAGAGACTTAAGGAGCAATGGCCAAGGATTTTAGGTGAAGAAGAAATTGAACATTAGGGGAGTACTATTATTGTTGTTGTTCTGGAGGGATTCCTAGTGGCTACTGTTAGGATCTTCATCCTCCATTTACTCAGCCTAACCTACTCAGGTTGAATTTAGACAAAGATAATGTTCCCAAGGCTGCTGGCAGGACCTGATCTTGTGCTGTATCCCATTGTCCCCCATCCATCCAATGGGAGCACTGGTAGAGTTTATTTTATTGATCAGTTTGGGAGTTTATTCTTCCTGGTGCCCCAGATACAAAAGAGGCAATTTTGCATCTTGCAAAATTTAATGGTTGGCAAATAAATACTGATCATCTTTTGTTACAATTTTAGATGACACAAAGCAAATTAACAAGACTAGGACTTACAGCGGAGTCTTTTCACCTAGCTCTGCCCTTCTTGATTCAAACCTTATAGTATAATTTAATGATTAAAATTTGAGTGGGAAAATAGTGTTTGAGGTCTGCAAAAATTAACACGCCTTCCATTTTTCTGTCTTTTGTCCTGGAAATTACTGAAGCATTGGGAAAGAATTTCCGTTAATGGGAGATGGCCAAAAAGCATAAAGAAATATATTGCGTTATATTTTACCATGGTTTGTGTGTTTTAAACTTGCCTGGATGGTTTGATGCTACAGGTTACCAGCTGACATCGGCAGAGTGTTACGACCTTCGGAGCAACCGTGTGGTTGCCGATCAGTACTGTCAGTATTACCCGGAGAACATCAAACCCAAACCCAAACTTCAAGAGTGCAACTTGGATCCTTGCCCAGCCAGGTCAGTCAAATTTACCAGTTTATTTGTCCTAAACATAAATCAAGTGCCAACTAAGCTTCTTAAATTGTTTAATGAAAAATAAGCATCACTGTCCAGTGTCCATTCCTAATCATGCATTATTGTTACTATTTGGACTTTTGGGCTTTTTGGAAACCATGATTGGCCCTCACTTAGATTTAAGAATCAGACTGACAAATGAAATATCTCAGATGATGAGGAGTCATAAAAGTACAGGTCAGCAGTCTTTTTGCAGTGTGACATTCGCCTTTGTAGTTGCAACACTTCCTGGTAAATTTCTTCATTAGCCTCCTTATCCTCAGCATAAGAGAGAAGATATAAAAAAAAAATTTCCTCCTACGAAACTAATTGTGAACACCAAAAGATAAAAAAATCCTTCCCCAAGCTCCTTGGATTTTTGAGAAGCACCTCAATATTATTTTTAAATCATAGTTTAGTAATTATATGTACATAAAAATAAAAGTTGAAATAGTTGAAACAGTACATGAGCAACATGCACGAAAATTGTTCTATCTTTGAAGTTTTTGTTTTCTGCTGTTAACTTTCTAAAGTTTATTTTCTTGTACTCTGTCTGTCTCATATTCATGGATTCTAAATTCTACATGTGATGCAAAATTGCCTATTTCATATAATTAGCTCATAAAACTGAACCCAGAGTAACAGGTTTTCATTAAAGACACAGAAAGAATCAATATTTTGTAATTATATAATTTAGGTGAAGTTTAAGTTAACTAAGGTTCATGTTACACCAGATAATTATGTATTAAAAATTGGATATGGTTTAAAAACTGAATGAGGTGTTAAAATTTTGCTTGAACTTTTTTTATTTTGGAAATATTAAGAGTATGAAGCATTTTTAGACAAGATAATTATAACTAATGCAATTCACCCCTAATTTTAAATTATTCTACTTATTATACATCTTTATATCTATACAAAGACCAGTGTGTGAAAAGCGTAGTTATCCTAATTCAGACAGGTGGGCTCAGCCAGAGGAAGACTTTGAAAGGCTTTACACATTTTTGTGAAAATTTATGTGTAAATTTCTAGGAGAAATGAGGGATTCACTCCCACAACTGGGGAAAAAACTTCCATAAAGAGATGGCCATGGAAGACAGTTGTGAGATAAAAGCATTTTGTTAACAATTTTAAGAAAATGTTTATAATTTACTCAATTTTTTTCTGGCTTCTGATTTTTATCTATCTTCTCTGTCAGAATAATACTTGTGGCCTATTTCTTACTATCCAAAAGCAAAAGGCCATGTTACAATGAAAGAGGTTTGCCTGTGAAATTTATGCTTTGTCTGCATCCTATGTTATTTTAAAACATCTAATACAGCACATGTATAAATGTTGGGACAGGTGGCTATTAAGAAAAAAAAACTGAGAAAAGAGAAAGAAAAAGTAAGACGCAAATGTCAGGAAGCTGCTTTTTTATTGCAGAGGTAATTAAACAAAGCTGTAAAAATTAAGACTTAGCAGTAGGAGAGATTTAAGAGGAAACTGCTTTAGGAAATGTAGATTTGCTGCTCCAATGTTAAGATACTTCAGTATCACTGGGAAAGTCATTGCACTTATTTGCATCCCTGGGATCAAAGCAACTTTTCTAAATTCCAAGAGAAAACAGGAAGTGATGGTCTGAGAGAAGAAGATACTGTATAACAAAGGTCTGCCCTCCCTTTAGACACAGCAGAGTCAAACCCTCAAGAAACTGCTTTCTAACTACAGGTATAACTGCCTCATAGTCAAATCAGGAGTGACACAATGACAGTAAACTATCGCCTTTGTATCTAAAATTAGAAACCCCCAAGAGGGAAAATGTAGACGTCCTTAGTACCGACAGTCCAATATTTTTGAATTCCAAAAGAAATTTCTTTTATCTAGCCCTTGAGGTATTTGTTCACTTTACTTGTATGAGACTAGGATTTGGGGCCTATTATCTATGATTTGAAAGCAAAATCCCATTCGCATACCAAGTTTATTGCCTGTCAAGCCTGGGAAGTACCATGGACAGCAAAAGGTGCACTAAATAATTATTAGTCTGGAGCCCTTGGTTTATTATTTTACCCTTCTGGACCTCAGTTTTCTCACCCACTAAATGGGGGTGAGAGGGTTGTTTGTTGCATTAAGTTAGTGGTTTTCAGTCTTTGCCTACAGAACCTGTTATTCCACAGAGTTTCTTCACTGAATTTGATGTGATATATTTTGAAGTGTTTTTAAACAAGAATTCACAAGAAGTTCATATATTCAAACATGTTAAACTAATTTTACCTTATTCAAGCTCAGCTAAATTGTAAGAATTGTTGTAACAGTTGTAAAAATGTTATACCACCAAAGTAACTACTTTTTGCCCTCATCCTTAAGTTCTTCAATATGTCTATTTGGCTGAAAAATAAGTATCCTGAGATTTCAGGGTGAACTGTAAAAAAACTTACCATTACCATCTGCTTCTCTGTGATGATAAGAATTCCCTCATTGCTACACATCTGAAACCAAAACAAACCAGAAATAGACTGGTTATGATGACCATTCGCCATAATCCTTGATATCCAATTTTTTCGTCTACCAAAATAGCTTCATTGTTTGCATTAATTTACTTTCTAATAACTAAATGTTTACAGTTGAACTAGTGAACTAAATGACTTATTTAGTTCACTAAATTACTCATTTCACTCACTGACAATATGCACTGGTTCACATGGTTTGTGGATTGGCTCATCTAATGGTTCTCAAAGCTAAAGAGATTGTTGACATCTAGTCCATGGTTTCAAAATAATTTTTATGTTTTTATGGCTTTTTTTTCTGATGCTTAATGCTAACTAAGAAATGTCGATGAGTTAAAAGTCTATAATGAAAACAATAAACCTCACTAACCATCTCCAGTGCCCACAAATCACGAGTGTTAATGCTTTTGCTATATTTCTTTCCAGTCTTGTCTATAGCTCATAACGCAGATGAGATCATACTGTGTACAGTGGACACTTGGAATTCAGTGATTTAGCCTTCTTGGTTTCCACTATTCTAAACCAAGCCTGAATATCCATGATATATAGTAACTTGACATTTTACTGAGGCAGGAATATGAGTCCCTTATCCTACTAGACCAACATTTGAGCCTACCTGACGACCAGAAGTTCCATCCCAAGAGAGCTTTTGTTGCTCTCTGCTGGTGTCTTTTATGCAGTCATTTTTATGAAGTGGTAAAATACCTTGTTTCCTCGCCAAAAGTGGTCTCAAAAAGGAAGCCAAAACTTAACACTTCTAATGGAAGGAAAGAGGGAGTGAAGTTAAAAATTTAATGGCTTTTAGCAAAAATTAAGACTGTTTCTCATTGGTGACCCAGAGCTATGACATCACTAATCCCAGCATAGGCTCTCTCCAGTGTTCTGGTGGCAGTCCCAGCCTGGGTACTCCCAGAAGTCCAGAGGCATGCCCCTCCTATAAGTCAGGGATCTACTGCACGTTTTATTTGTTTTCCACTGCATTCATTTCACCCCATAGTATGGACCCTTTCCCCTGTAGCTAAGACGTTTAGAATCTAATCAAATGTAAAATCCTCTCTTGTGCCTGCCATGTCATAATTACAGCTTCTGTCTTACACCACAGGGAAATTTTTTTTTAATGCCTTTTTCTGTTGTTGTTCGTTTGTGCGGTACTTTGTCTCATCTTTGCCTCTCAGGTGAAGGCTAAAATCCATCATGTGGCGAGAAAGCCCTAAAATGTATGCCTGTGGTCCAGCAACAACTAAAAAGTCATCATTTTAGTTCAGCTAATAAGCACCTTGTGTTTTCAGAGTGGCTTTCGATGTAAACTACGCTACATTTGGCCTTCTGTAGCTCAGTCCATGAGACCGGAATGACTGTTAATGCTGTCTGGGGGAAATTGTGCAAGACATTGTTTGTGAGAAGATCAGAGAAGCACCTTTGCAGATCCATTCTGGCACGGGCCTCCAGTGTTCCCTCCAAGGCAGTAATGAAGGGGCTTCAATTGGCAAGGGTTGGAAAAGTGAAAAAAGCTCTCACTCATCACACTATCATAGTCACGATCATTAGCAAACAAATCTGTTTCTAGCTGAAACTGCATCCAGATTCCCCCTTCCCTCAAGGAATTCCAAGCAACAGTCCTGAGCAAATGCCCAAACTTGTATGCCCCGAGCGGCGGTTCTTGGTGAGTTCCAGTAGACTTTTTTGTCCAGCCCCATTTAATTTGACAGCAAATTGCATAAGTCATCCCTGGCCGTGATCCAAATTTTGAACAAAAATCTCAGATTGAATCTTAATGCAACTTTAAAGAAATAATCTGCATCGCGAAAGCCATTATGTATAGTGGGCATGTAAAAACCTGGTCACGCTAACTTGGTGACTAACTAGTCCAATGGCAGTACAGCCTGGTGGTTAGGAGGGGAGTTTTGGAGCAAAGAGTCTGGCTTGGGATCCTGGCTCTGCTGTTTACTGGTTGAGTAGCCTTTGGCCAGTTACTTGTTCTCACTAAATCTCTGTCTTTTATCCTGTGAAGTGAGGAAAATAACAGTACTTACCTCACAGAGTCATCATGAGGAATAAGTGCCCTAAGATATTTAAAGAGCTTAGTAGAATGTCTGACACATGACAAGCACTCAAAAATGTTAGTTGCTACAGCTATTATGACTAAGATCATGATTATGATAATGTCGATGTTACCTCAGAGAGAAACTGCTAAACTTTCCAGAAATCAGCTTTCTCCTCCATGAAGGGAAAAGATGCCCCGGAATTCTCTATGGGTCTAGAAATGGAGTTCTCTCTTGTTTTAACAGCAAGAGAGACAAATTCCTAAAAAATATCTTCGTCAAAGTGAATCACATGTATCAGATTTTTAAAGTACAACAACCATGAGCAATTAAGATAATTAGCATCTCCATAAATCACAGTGTGCAACTGCCTAATAATCCCCACTTAACCAGCTGTGAGACATTGCCATTTTATTCAGATGGGATTCATGCCATG